ATAGGAAGCCGAAGGGGCAATGTCTCGGAGTTGTGAAGCTTTGCCTGAATAAGTTCTCCTCACCACTTGTCAAGTCAATTAGTTGAAGATGCATGTTCAGCATCACTACAATTTACTTATTAAATAGCATTTGTATCTTGCCCGAATCCCTCTGGCTTTGAGAAATTTTCCTAGCAAGTTACATCAAGTTTGTTCCCCGATTCACTAGACTTTTTAAATTAAGCTATCCTCCAATTAGGTAATTTTCGTAGAATCTCTGACAGATCTTATTTGGGCCCAATTAAATGGCTCAAATATTCATTCTAAAAGGTTAAATTATTTAATAACTATATCGTGTCGAAATGGAGTTGATTTTTGTGCCCAGATTTTACTCTAATAGTAGAACTCGCCATTTTATTAGTAAAGATAAATTCGTCTCGCAATTATATATATACATAGTTATGGCAAGCAAAAGTGGAAATCTCATGTCATTTACCTTTTTCATAGATTATGTGCTGGTGGTACACAGTTCATTTGAACCGATTTCCGGTTAAAGTATTCAATTCAACTCGCCAGCAACGTATGCATTTTGCGGCAGCCTGGCTTTGTGATGAATTGGTTCAACTTTGGCGCCTAGCTTGTCTTAACCCTGAACTCCGAGTCACACATCGTACAACCTCTCCTCCCAGTACGACTCATGCCTGTCGTCCGCCTTCTAACGCTTCAGGATCACCTAACACTGGCCTATGGTTGAGACGTCAATTAGCTCGTAGGCTCCGTGCTTTTCATCGTTTTGCTGTGGAACAGGCCAGGCGTCGCTTAATGCATTTAGTTACTCGCCGAGCTCTTGTGGGCAGTGGGGCTGCAAACAACTCTCCCCAGCAATCGGCTTCTACTTCTACCACATCAGCAACCGGAACCGCCACATCTGCTAATTTGCCGTGTACCCCAAACAAACAGACTGGAGGTGTAGCAGCAAATTTGAGTGATCTGATAGACAGTCTATTTAGTACCTCTAATAAGTTAGAGTTTCGAGGTTTCAAGCCTGCGCTCGTAGCCTGCAAGTGCGTATTGTTTTACTCCTAAAATTTACGTAGGAATATTTGTCACTATTTGTCTTCAAGAGCCTTTTTTTTATTACAGGACGAATTGGACGAAGGATTACCCTCCATGCATGCCATCATCGAGCTTAGAATTTAGCAAGGGTGAATATTTATTTTTTTGATTCGCTAAATATTTGTCTCATTGTTCAGTAGGAGCCTGCACCTCGTCCTCTATTTTAAGACTTAGATGAATGACTCACAAGACTAAGCTGTTTTCTCATAACTTCAATTTCCGGTGAAAGTGTGTGGTGTAGAGATTCGAAGATCGATCCCGTCAGAAGGCGACGACGGGGTCCTTTTGGCTGACTGTCGATTGGCTCTTTTGGAGTATTCTTGTTGACAGTTTCCATGACAATCTCCTTAGATTCCGGTGACGACGTGGTACACTTTCGATCGTAATATGGAGGGCATCATCAGGGAAGG